CAGATTGCATTTTAAAGGTGCAGCTTCAATAGGGTTGGCTGAGCCTTAGTTTTTCACCCCTACCTCTCATCCCTTCCCTCCCCTCAGCAATGTCTCATAAGATATTGTTTCAAGCCTTCGCAGAAGGGTTTGGTAGTGGATTTCAGCCCAGCAGCTGATCGTCTCATGGCAGATCTCAGCTGGTTTGATAAACAGGGTAAAAAACATACGTCATTGTCAGTAACTTTGCGGTAGGAATGCTTCTTTGAGATGGAAAGCTGACCAAAAGGGACACTGAAATATAACTTGCTCTTCTGTTTGGGCTTAGGGCAAAAATACAATTATCATGTTTTACATTTCCACCAGTAAACAGATAACTTTGGTTTCATAAAATGTATACACTTTATAAGCTCATGCAAAAATATTATATTCTGTGTTCCTCTCTAAAATACAAATGATAGGTATGATATAGTTCTTAGATTGCAGGGCTCATTTTTTAAGGCTGTAAAATTTCTTTTTTTGTTCAAGAACTTGTCTTTTTTGGAAGAAGATTAATTGCTTTTCAAAAAGGAGATTTCAAAAGTAGTTTAGACAATGAAATTACTGCCTTTGGTGGCTAAATTGTGAAGTTGTAATTTGGTATATGGAGAAACCCTTTCAGGATCAGCCATGACAAACCTTAAGTATTTGCACTCGGCCCTTTTTCCGTCGTGTTGCCTCTAAAGGCAGACACAGAGGGATATTTTGCAGTATGTAAAGAAGAAAATTTTAGCTTAGTACTTCCCCAAAATGTCCCTGCCTCTGGACAAAGCCATAAATACCCGGCTTTGCAAAGCAGAAAATGTGACGTCAACAGCCTGAGAGATGAATAATGAGAAAAAGGCCCAGGAGTGCAAATTTCACACAAAAACGTGGGATGCTGGGCAGAGAGAGCCCAGTGCTGCCCACACAGATGCTCTGATCTGACCAGTTGCTGTTTTGTGTTCCTCTAGCCCATTTAGCTTTTTGATGGGTTGTTGTGCTGTGTGGTTCATACAGTTGCTCATTGATGTTACATAAATAAGTGATGTTACATAAATAAGTTTTCTGTTCTAAATACAGATCAAACAATTTTTCTTTCAGCCCCAATTGACCTTTTCTAGATACTCCAGAGATGAAAAGTTTCATCCCACTATAATAATATATTTTCATCTTCCTGTGCAGTTTAAACAGAAGAGATAGATGTCATTCATTTTCTTGTTATTAACAACATCATAAAGGAAAAATAACTATTTGGAGTCTGAACCAGTATCTTTCCAGAATCATTTCTCAGGCTATCCAGTTGCCTGTGAGTTTCCAAAATAAAAATGTTGAGCAATGTACTAACTTCTTTTGTGAGTGAGAACCAGAGTAAGACGATAGACTATAATATTGCAGATGCGTGTAGCTACCGAAACCACCAGAGCTTTGTCCATGCTATTAGTGACACTTGCAAGGTAAAGGGTGTTACAGCCTAAACTAAAAGGGTGGGAGTTTTATATGGAATGTGAATTTTTAATTTGATTGTTTGTCAAAGCTGAAACTGAGAAACATCTGTCTTTTAGCGTTCATGATTACTAACACTCATGACTGCATGAGCTTGTTTCCTAGCTTTTCAGCTTGCTGCAGAGTAAGAGAATGACCTTATAAACTCAAAGAAGCAAAACCTTTTAGAAGGAAAGAATAAGTTAATGTAGATTGGGAAAAGAGTGAGAACCAGGCTCATGGGACTACTTCACAGATTGCTCAACGTTTTATTTGGTACTTTTAAATGCTGTTTTCTTTAGTAATAGCATTACAGCCTGATTAGCATTTTTGTGCTGACTACAAGATCATCCCAAATTACTGTCTTACATTCCACATCATGCACAAAGTCTGAAAATTTTCAAAAAGACAAGCTGAGATACGATGAAATCAGCTCATATCAGGGCACTGGAATTTACAGGAAATGGTTTCTTAATTGATGGTACACAATGCTTTGACAATCCAGGTACTTCTAAAAAACCCTGCATGTTTCTTATCCCTTACGGTATGAACATAGACACACAGCATCCAGCTATGCTGTAACAGCTGGGTTGTGAGAAATTAGTAGAGACCTGATATTTTAAATACAGTTTTTCTTCTCTCCCACACCATATACCTGTCTTTAGAAATGAGGCTCCACACCCTGGAAATCATTCCAAGCCTTCCTCTCATGCTGTATCCTTCCCCCTGCAATTCATATCACCCACAGAAAGGAGCTGGCTTCACCGCCTGGAGCGGCTGTGGACAGGACCGCTCTCCCGCACACCTCCAACCCGACAGTTCAGTTTGGGAACAGCTATTGCAGGGCTCCACCTTTTCCTTAATAAACAGAAAATCATCCAAAACTACCTGCAGGCCTTCTGTCGCTCACACTAGGCAGGATGAGACTGTGAACTACAGTAATGTTATTTTTGAAATAGTTGTTACCACACTGATGTGGATATTGATTTAAGGGCATCATTCTTAAAGCATCATGAGATTTTGGTTGTGTTTACCAGAGCAAGAACAATTTTCAGTTCATAGATGTGGGGACCCAAGCAGGTTATTTTAGATTTGAATGAATATTCTACATTTTGTTGAAAAGATTTATTTTTTTTCCCCTTTTTGTTTTTAAGTAATACAGGTTTCACTTGGGAGAACTTGATTCATGTCTTGTCTTGCCTTGCAAGGGTTTCTGGAGGAAGACTGGGCTGAAACCCAGAGAAAGACTTTCTTAGGGGTGTTAGTTATGATCGAAATGAGTTAGAAAAAGGTGTTTGTGTGATCATTATCTTCTCTTGGATATATTATGGAAAAAACCAAAGGCTTTGATATTTGCCTATTTCCACTAGATGGATCCCCTGTACCTTCTGTACTTGTATGTGATAGTGAGACATTACCTCTCCTTTGCAGACCTTACCTGCCTTTGCCAATGCAAACACTGTGATAGACCACTGTATATCTTAATGAGCACTGAGCAGCTTTGACCTCTGTAGGGAATATTTTCTGGCTGCAGATGTTGGGAGTGAAGGGAGTGAAAGAAAGCCTTGAACTTCTGAGAAATACTGATTTCAGAGTGACTTGAAGCTGGAAAAGCTTCCTCTGCTCCCCTCCTCCCTCTGCAGAACTACAAGCCACTACAAGCAAGAGAAAGGGATGTGTATTGGAGCAATCAGGAAATAAGGTCCGTGCATTTTGGACGTGAATATCCCTGATGAGGAAATCACTTCTAAACTTCTGAATTTACCACACAAATTATTCCTATTTCAGGAATAATCTGTGAAGAATGGCTATACATGGCTTCTCTGGCAGATGAGGGACGATAGGAGCTCTTTTGTAGAAATTATGTGGACCTTTTAAGCTGGTCCAGCACACAGAACCCTTTTGTTTCTGTAATTGATGCTATCCAAGTCAGGGAAAAGAAATGTGTCTTTGGCTGAAAGAGAAAAAAATACTGAAGAGCTGCATCATATTTCCTAGGAACTGTAACACCATAGCAACAGTTGTCTTTCAATGCTGCTGCTGCATCGCTTAATAGTTCTCAGATTGCTGTAAAGCGTTTCTGCTGTAAAGCTTACTGCACGTGAGCTGATGCTGTTGGCAGATAATTACAAGAAAAATGTCCGTATACAACACATTGGTTTTGTCTGTATTGAAAAACATTTTTTTTCCTCATAACCATATGGCATGTCTCTCCTTTAAAAAGGAATTTTAATGGGAAGTTTGTCGGTAGAACAGGTTGGGTTTGATAATCTGTGATGAAATACTTGGGGGGGGGGGATTTTTAGTGTGTGTAAAATAATAGAAAATCCCAAACTGTGAGAAAGGATTATTTTTTATTAGATAGAGTTACTGTAAAAAGCTTGGAAAATGTATTGTTCTTTTCAGTATTTTTCAGAATAAATAAATATTTTGAATGAGTTTTCAGCTAGGAATTTAATTTATAGTGAATAGGCGTTGAAATAAAAGCAGTATTTCAAACATCAAAATTCAATCTTTTTGATTGACCACATTTTTTTTTTATTTCCAAATGTTCAGTTTATGAAAATGTCAACTCTATCCAAATTCAAGTCAGGAAAAATGTTTGAAAATTCTTCTGAGATGACAAAACTTTTTCCTGCCTAGCTCTGTTCTATTTATTATATATTAATACTGTCTGGCTCCCTTTGTTGGGTGTGGCTTTTTTGTCATTCTTTATGAGAACTTGCATGGAAAATTAAAGCACACTTTCTGATTAATGTGGGATGAATGATCAAAACCCACCGTCCCTCCCTCATTAAATCTATCCAAGTTTTAACATAGATCCTAGTGGCAGGCACTATGGAGTTACAGATTAAATGTTCATGAAAATTGAATTACTTCTACAAAAGGTGCCTGCAGGTGAAAAGAGAGGCTGAGACGAGAGGCTTACCCTCTGACTGCTCATGCCGGGTCTTTTCTGTGGTTTTCCATTCTGTAAATGTCAGTTCAGCTCCTTCAACAGGCACTGAAAACATGATACATTAAGCAAAACAAGTGGGCTATAAATGGCCCATGATTTATGGGTTATCTTGGTTTGTCAGTTCTCACTGTTGTGAAGCACTTCTGGTATTTGCACAATGATGTAAATTATTGCAGCGTGAGAGCATTAGCAAAGTGCCCTGCGAGCTGTGAAAGATCCTATTGCTGACATTGTCTGTGCAGCCCAATAAACTGCTCTAATCTCAGGCTTGACGATATCGCAGCAGCAGAGAAACTTAGCTCAGGCTGAGGAAATACTGACTTATGAAATAAAAGAGGGAACTGAAATGCCATGGGCATGTGGATGCCCTGGCTGTGTGACTGAGTTTGGAGTTGGCTCTTCATTTCCCGTGTTGGAAACAGCAGCGAATGATTGTGAACATCAGCTTCCATATGAGCAGATGGAGGAGGAAACGCTATGTGCAGGGGTGCTGACCTATGGTTCTGTAGTGTAATATATCAATTAATAGTTTTTATTTTGTTTTTTTCTTTGTGTACAGCTAACAAGAGAACACCAGGTGGCCCTCTCCTCCATCACTTACATTGGCTGTGCTCTGTCCATCTTCTGCTTGACGATCACACTGGTCACATTTGCTATATTGTCGTGAGTAATTTTAACTTAATACCTGCCGAGCAACTATTGTGAAGAAAGCCAAGCAGTGCATTTCAGGCCACTGGTTAGGATCCCTTCAGGTGCTCAGGATAAAACAAAGGCTATTAATTCTACAACCTTCCTTAATTAGATTCTGCACATGTATTTGTAACAGTTGGTTGGTTATTTCTAAATTGCTTTCATTTCCTGAAATGGGGTGATCTTTATATAGCAAGCTATTTCCATCCTCTGAGGGATTTTTGGATCTTTTTTAAACCCTGCATGTTTTGCTATAGTTCAGGAATCTCTCAAGGAGGCTGTAGGAGGGCTTGGTCTGGAGCTCAAGGCAAGGAGAATATGAGCAAGGACTGCAGGATCACCCCCTCTCTCCCCCCAGATACATCTTTGGATTGTTTGGAGTGTACAATCAATACTTCTTTTTGCTTTTCAAATCTCTTGTCTGTAAGGCAGTCTGTTTAGAAAGGTATGCCCAGAAAGGAAGGCTCGATCAACATCAGCTGCTTCACTTTTGTTTCATACAGCTTGTACGCAATTACCTCATATAACCCACATTTATTTTCAAGTATCTTGCTGTTCTCTGTTAGGCTAGTTTTCTGATGTGTTGCTTTAGTAGGATGAAGGACACTATAGGCAGTGTGGAATTCACTCCATGGCTTATGTTTAAATCCCCTGGATCTCTGCATACTCCTGCCCGTAGCACGGCAGCCCCTTCCAGGGCTCTCTGTGCTGGGAAGGTTTCTGCCATGGGGCACTTCGGGGCTTTGTGCCTGTCTATAATCCAGTAGTGACAACTGAGTTTGAGGCCCAGCTAAGCTTAATACAAACATTTCTGAAAAAGGTTTCCTAGAGGTTTCTGTCTAAATAAAAACCAGAAGATCTGACAAAGGGTGAAGTCAGTTGTCCAAGGTTGCACAGCAAATTGGGAGCACAGCAAGGAATGGGATTCTTGTTTCCTTTCACACACTAAACCATGTTCTTCCTACTCAAGAGTTCAATTTTTTATTTCTGTGCCTAAGCATGTTTTTTGGACATCCTGTTAAGAGGCCAGTTTCTAGGAAAAAGGACTTGCTGAAACCCAGTAATTTCAATGTTTGTTTGTTCCAAATCCCATATTATTTCCAAGTCTTGAGATCTGTGTTGGTCATACTTGGATTAAGTGTGTAACGCATGGCAAAATCCACTCTAAATAAGTCCGACGTCTGCCTATCTGGCATCATGCTGTTGGCATGTTCAGGCTAAGGGGAATTATCTGCTCCATTTTCGTCTGAGTGCAAAACTGGATGTTAGAGTGTTTAGAAAGGAAAAAGAAGCAAAAGGAGCTGATATTGCTGCAGCTGGGCTGAAAACTCCTCGAGAAACTGCAGGCAAACAGAAGACTTGGAAAGAGAGCTTGGACCCAGCAGACTGTCACAGGGTTAAGCACCCCACCTACATACAGGATCACTCGAAGTGCCAATTAAAAATAATTTGATTAGGTTTTCACTGGAGACCAGGGCCTCATTAAACAGCTGAAGCGAAATTTTGCAATGTAGTGTTAGATGGCCATGAGGTAAGTGAAGAGGAATCTGGCAAGTTCTTTGCTACTCCACGTACTGGCAATGACGGCTGCTTCCCAGGAGGGCAGTCCTGATTGCCTTCCGGGTAACGATGTTCCAGCTTACGACTATATGAAGTTCCTTATTAGAAAGCCATTGGCACCAGGCAGCGCAACCTGTCTCTTTGTATTACTTTTAGGACATCAATACTTGTCGTCTCCCTCTTCGCTCCCTTCTAATGGAGCACTGGCTACAACAGTGCTGGGAGAGCAGGGCTGACAGCAAGCCATCTTGTTGGCTGCTCTGGGTCACCCTGCTGCAGGGGGCATGCTCCATGTGTCACCAGCGGTTGCAAAAGTCATCACCATCCAGCGTGATACAACAAAAAAGATGGGAGTGCGTACTGTTGTGTTAAGGCAGCACTGCCATTCACATAGCCAAACGGTCCAGATCTCCTGAAATGATTAAAGTGGATGGTGGGGGCTGGCAGGCAGTGTGCTTTGAAATAGAAAACTTGTTATCACTAGTACTATTTTTTTTTTTTTTAAAAGAAGAATAAAAATATGCGAAAGGCCTGAAATGTTCAGATAAATGTTTTTGTTTGTTTTCTACTTCCTATTTCTGGATGAGAACAGAAACACGAGGTCAGAAGACTCCCAGGAAAGCAGATTTCTTGTCAGATTTCCAGCTGGTTTTGCAAAGCCAGAGAGACAGGTTCAAATGCTGTTGTAATCAAGGTCAGGTCTCTGTCAAGATAGGCACTGCCCATACATGTAAGTAGCTATAGTTCCTGCTCTCAAAAGCCGATAATAGTACAGTAAAAATTGTAACCAATGTATTTTCATGTTCCCTTATTTCTAATACAGGCAAATACCAACAAAATAAAACTACTCTGTGGCAGTGTGGCCTAGATGGTGCAAGACCCAAGGTGTTTACTGTGAGGTGCATATCTGACTTCCCTGACAGCACAGCACCATTCAGGATCAAGCCCTTTTTTAATATTCTATCACAAGTCATCAGCAGAACTAGTTAATGTGCAAATCAGGTTTTTTGCTGCCTTCAGGATGGCAGTGGAATATGAAAGAAACCAGTTAGGTACCACTCCATCCTGATGAAAGGAGTGCTCAAAAGACATGATAACGCCACCAAAATGAATGATCAAAAGCCAATCAAAATGCTTGCTGATAAATCATAAATACGTTTGTGCTTCTTGGAATACTGTTTTATTCATGTGTCTTTCTATCTTCTGCCAGGTCTGTCAGCACCATCCGCAACCAGCGCTATCATATCCATGCCAATCTGTCCTTTGCTGTCTTGGTGGCCCAGATCCTGCTTCTCACCAGCTTTCAGTTCAGCCCTGGAACGGTAAGTGCTAGAAAAAGTGATTGTGGTTTTGGTGAGGCACCTCCATGGAATGATGCCACGTGCCACCTGCAAGAAAGTGTCTTGCATGTGAGATCTCCTATTTTTAACGTGCCTTAGCCAAAAATGACATCCTACAACACTGGATAAAGTCTTCTGTGCATCCAAATAGTGTTATCGTAGTATGTGGCCATGTCTGGATGTTTGCAAACCTGAAAGAGGTATGCACCCATCAAATGGAAAAATCACCACAGTAGTGGAGAACATTTCAGTTGTGTGTTCAAATGGCATGGCTGACTTCTGCCTGACATGGCTTCTGTTTTCTCTCATCCGTTCTCTTTATTGAAAACTGTAGGAATTCTGTATTGGAGAAAATTGTGTGAATTTTTTATTTAGGTAAGGTATTTATATTTCTGTTAGGGTTGGGGTTTTTTTTGTGCTTTTGTTTGTTTTTGTTTTAATCGTCTATTCTCTGCCATGGTACAGTTTGCCCTTTTTTTTTCCCCACATTAAAAAGTCATCTTATTCTCGTTGCAAAGTAATGAGTTTCCTGATGGAGCTGTGGCAATTTCTTCTGGAGAGCAAAACGGAAGGTCTTTGCTTTTTGCTCATAAAGTTTTATTTGTGTGTAGAATACACTGTTTTTTCTGAACAGCAGATTTCTTGATCGTGATCTCTACTCTGGAAATTTAGATGATTTTTAAGTATCATTCAGTTTATTTGTTCTGAGTAATAATCAATGAGAAAGGTATAGCAACTATTGCTTAATTAGCCAGAGCTCGCAGAAAGCTTTATCTCCAAGTATCGCTATATAAGAGTTTAATCTGAGATCCTCAGTATTGTAAAACATATATAAACTTCTCTGGGCATCTAAAGCCACCACTTAAGCAAATGACAAATATCTTCACATTGCTTATGTGGTACTTAAGCTCTATGCATGTATAGGCTTTTTCTGCCTGATCACATAGATCGGAACTTGAAATTACAGATTGATTTTATGGATCTACTACTACAGGTGAGAATTCCTTGTGGAGAGTACCAGAATCTAAACCATTAAAACTGGCATCTCAAACACCTGGTTTAGATTAAGATGAATATGCCAAGTTAATAATATTACATACCAGTGAAACCAATTTGTTTCCACTGTTGTGTTTAAAAAATGCTGTTTAAAGTAACATAAGGTCTGTTGATGGAAAGTCCCACCTGCAAAAAGCAGAAACAAAACCTGATTTTAAAATAATCTTCCAGTGTGCTCTGGTTTTGTAATGGTCAAAACTTGGCTGCTTGGGTGACCAGTTGTTGCTCGATACGACTTTTGAAAAGCAGTGAGCAGTTTCTATTCATCTTTTATTCTTTTTATTCTCAGTACAAGTAAATATGAGGTTTGCACACTCTTAATTTTGCCAGTACAGCAGCTACTTAAATTTATATTCAGGTCAAATGGGATCCCTTGAATTTCTGTTAATTTTATAAATAAAAAACATGTCTGGTTTTACATAGGCTATTATTACCTGAGGATCTAAAAGCACTTTCTTTTAAGAGTAAGTTCATACTCTTTCGCTGTTTAACATTCAGGTAGGTCCTGAACGAGTAAGATAATGTGCAAGGGAGAAAATAGTAGGGAATGCTTTAGAAGGAAAATTAAATAGAGACAGAGGAGAGCAGCAAAAGATATAACTTGAAACTGAAGACAATGGCATGAAACCAGGCATGAAAATAATCCTCTCTGAGTAAGTACAGAGCTAAAACTCTGCTGAAAGGACATAGGCTTGAGGGCAATAAAACGTTCACTCAGCATAACAGGGAGTCTTATTCTCAAAGTTTTTCCTTTTTCAACCATTCCAGATTTTCAGACAATCCAACTGAGTCACTTCAGGTAAGGTGTAAAAACCTCTTCACACCTTATCAAGGCCAGCATCACCTCCAGTCTTTTAAAAAACTATGAAATACTAGTTGCATTTCCTGTTTTTAGTTGGATGTAGGTAGGGCCTGAGTTCTTCAGAGATCTGTCCCAGTGTCCACCTACACTTACAACGTGCCTTGTCCACACACAGACATCTTGCTTGTTTAGTTAAGCAGATGTAGCTAAGCTTATGAAACGCTCACATAGACTTAAGTTGTGGTTTAATAGGTGCATATTTTCATTTCTCTTAAACCTATTCAAAACCTACTTTAGTTAAATTGAAACAGGAGCACACAGAAAGCAAGACCTGTTTTATGCCACAGGCTTTCTGAAGTGAAACACTTCACAGAATCCATGGATAATTCAGCATTATCTCCTCTGTTAACAGAGTAATTGTAGGGCACAACACTGTAAAGATCCTAGTGTGTACATCATGCTTTTCAACTTTATCTGCTACACTAGTATTTTTATTGTTTTAACCTCTTGGGATCAAGGATGTTGTGATTCATCCTTTTATTTGCCTTTATTTGTCCTTGCCTTCTGCATGCTCAGTTCTCACTGGCTTTGACATCAGTTTTAATACCTTTAATTACTGCTTTAATTGGACTGCTAAATGGTAGTTTACAAAAAGACAGAGGCAGTATTTACACTAGAAGGTGTAAATTTCTTAATCTTCTGCTTCTGCCACAGATGGGTGTATCTAGTGCTAAACAGTTTAGAAGTGCCCTTGCTCGAGAGGACAAGTGGTACCAGTTTGCTTGAGGAAATACAGTGCGACGGGGAATGGCATCATTGAAACAGGCCCTAAGCTGGCATCCCGTTCTTGCACGACAGCCTTTAGACTCTCCATCCTTTTCCCATCTCCATCGCTAGGGATATTTAGGTTTTGATTCCAGATATAACATACAGTATTACCCTGGTAATTTCAGATGTATTATTTAAATTTACAATTTATACTACAGCAATTTTCCTTTTGTAGAGTAGGAATAATTTTTAACCACAAAACTCTATTTCCACGAATAGGACTTTGATCTAATGCATCCAAGAACATATTTTTTTATGTTCTATTTCTAAAAAGACAGTCCTTGATACCTAACGTCAGTAGTGCTAAAGCAGTAGTCCTAAATGATCATGGCATATTCCAGAAAGGCAACTGTTCCTTAAGCCAGGACATCTTTCTTCTAGAGAAAGCAAATATCTTCGCACACAGCATTTTCTTCCTATGCTGCCAAGTCCCTAAGATATCTTTGCTATCCACATGCCAGTCTAATGACTTCCCTTAGACTTTCCGCAATAGATGGATTTGTTTCTTCAGAGATGTTTGCTGTCTTTCTTACTCTCTGCTATAGACTAGAGACCACCTTTCTTTTTAACAGAATCCAAAACAGCGGTGTGCATGTAACAATAATTAACCATCAACAATTCTTTAGGCTACTAAAGCCTTCCAAAGACTTGAGCATCTTTGTGGGAAAAAGTGAAGCATGCTTGGCATCACATAAAATACTTCCAAAGAGAGAGATGAGTTACTTTTGTTTATGGTACATGTATCTGCAGAAATTCAAGACTGTGTATCAAAGCAGCATATAGATTGCAGGGAAGGACATTTTCAGAGTTCTGTATAATGCAGTAAGATTGCCAGTTAAACTGAAAACACTGTTATAAGTTGAATTTAGAAAATATACGCAAATTTACCTATCTGTTTTAAGACTGTCCTCAGTAAACAAATGACTATTGTTTTCTGAGAGGTGTTTCTGAGAGTCTGCTTTACTTTCCAACAATGATAACATGATAGGCCGTGCTACTGGCTGGACTGATTTTTGTACTTCCACAGACTCACAAGTAGTCAACTGTAAGAGTAACAATAATGAGATCTGTCTTTTTACAGGTATTCTACCAAAAGTAGTGTGCATCTTATGATACAGCAAGGGAGAGCTGCTTGTTTTTAATCTGTAAAGTCTCAGCTTTTCAATATCTTTCTCAAGAAGGCAATTCTGTCATTTAAGAGTATCTTCAAAGTAATAATTAAGGCACAAATACAAAATGAGTAATAACTTTGCTATGGATTTTTATGTAAAAGTCTGCAACTTGATATTATACAAAATTATATACAGACCAGCCTCCTGCTACTTCACTATGTTTTATTTTTCTGCTGTTTTGTGATTCATATTGTTTGGCTACTCAAAAATTGGAAAGTATCCATTTGACAGAACTAGCTTGTAAGTCAGCTTTATGTTGCATTTTTATTTTCATGGACTAGTCTTCTGGTAGAAATCAAAAGGCATTAAAATGAATTTAATATCCTTATGCTAAAATTAACTGGAAAGGTTTTTACAGTTTTTGTCAATAAGCAAATCTGGTTTAGTTATATGTCACCGAACATTGCGAAATACTAAAACACTTACAGATCTCACTCACATGAATTAAAAACAAAGTTATTGCTTTTTAATACGTGTGGTCACAGTGGATTTGCATTAGAATGTCCTTGTATTATCACAGAACCAACTGAGTACAAGTGAGAAGGTAAGGGAAAGCTTCAATTTTCATTATACGATCAAGTCCCAACATTTTAATTTTCATTAGTGTACAAAATCCCGAGCCATCAGCAAAAAGAAATAAATGTCAGCACAGGACAGCTAAGATAACGCAACAAAGGGAACTAATGATTAGCATCAGAGAACCCCTGTGCCAGCAAACTAGTTCCTACTGGTAATGGATACCTTACTGTGATTTGTCCAGGTGAGGAAGGGAAACCTTGAGGAAATGAACAAACAAACAAAAGTCTTCCTATTTACGTGGACTGCATGCAAGCAACCCTTCTGAAATTCTGTAGGTGTCACAGAAGGGATGTTGCAACTACAGAGCAGAATGACCATCATCAGTATGCTGCAAGATATAGCTGGGACTCATTCCAAGAGCATGTTTAAAATGTGCCTTAACTGAAAAAAAACCAAACAAGGTTATCTTGTGGCAAGATCATTGGCAGTCACATCTGTTCAATTACTGTATGATGAGCGAAACCACTTGTGGTGAGACATCCTCGAAAAGCAATTAGTGGGAAAGGAGAATGTGCTGTGCGAATACGTGAGTGGGGAAGAAGAAAGGATTAGGTTTCCTGTTTTCATAAGGCGAGTTGATAGGAGATTTAGAGAAAAATGTAAAGATCTCTTTGAGGAGCGACTTAAGGAAAAGCCAGGTATTAAGCCCAGACTGCATTTCCGGTAGCCCGCAGTGGGCCGTAAGCACTGAGATGGGTGTAAGCAGGACTCAAGAGGATATTTTTACTTCTTGCTGCATTGCTTTAGTCATGGCATTCCTCTCTTAGGGGCAGCATTTGTTTCACTTCAAAACGTGTTATACTTTAAATTGAAACAGATAGTCCAGTTTAGACCAGGTGGGCTCACTTTCTAGATGTTTTTCTTCTGTTGCTTAAATTTTCATATTAGCTGCTGTTTCCAGAATCTTGATAGCACATTGTGACTATCAAGGAAGATTCAAACTGCCTGTAAACATCCTACAGAAGAGACTTTCAGTTCTTTGCCTGAATCACTAGATGTGTTCTTGTTAAATATGACTTCATATACAGCTGGTACATACTTCAGACTATGTGAAACTGAGAATTCAAACAGGCAGGTAAACTAGATGTCCACCATAGAGCAATTAGGACTCAAGAGCTAATGATAGCTTGCTATAACTTCTTGAAATGTCTGTATTAGTATTGCCAATGGAGGAGCATGTGGGACTTTTACAGAATTTCTAACCAGGACAGACAGACACTGGAATATGATGTGATTTAATTGGTGTGTTATCCTATTTTTAATATGAAGAACAGCAAAGTAGGAAAGCTGCGTGGCGAAGTGTAACTAAAGAGCAGGTTCAACGTGACACTTTATTTTAAAATTTCCATGTTTTGCTCAAGCTTAGCTGATCCACTGACTTTCTACCAGTTCCTCACAGAAAATGAGGCATGAACTGTGCTGTTTTTTCTGCCATCACAGAACAGGGAGCGGGGTACAGGACAATGCCTGTACCCCCACTTCTTTGCCTCTCCTATATTTACTACAGGCTCAGCAACAGGATGTCGACCCTTCAGTTTTGAGTTCTTAAATATGTTTTAGACTTTAGTAGGAGTATTGCTCCTACTATTATAAATAAAAAATTAGTTTGGATTTACACATCACGTTTGGCAATGTATTTTTTCTTTTTTGTTAAAAGGTAAGAGGATTTGTTACTCTAAATCTATCTGAAAATGCCATAGAAAAATGAAATTCTCTAGTGCTTTGTTTTTAAGGCTGTTTTACTCCAGTGATTTAACATTTAGCGTGTAAATGTATACAGAAATTTAAAAAAAAAAATAAAAATTGGAAAACCAATGTGACTGCATCACAAAAAAGTAATGTATTAATTTTTCTTCTTAATTTAGGTGCCTTGCAAGATCTTGGCCATTCTCCTTCATTTTTTCTTCCTGAGTGCTTTTGCATGGATGCTGGTGGAAGGCTTTCATCTTTACAGTATGGTGATCAAAGTATTTGGGTCAGAAGAGAGCAAGCACTTATATTATTATGGAATTGGATGGGGTAAGCATTTAGTAGCTGCTTGCTTTAAGTCTTCTCACTGTAGGACAAGATTGTATTCAGAAGCATATGTAAAACTGTCATCTTATGAACATAGTTTGCCTTACTGAGAGTAGGTCTGTTGGATAAGAAAATGCATAATTTTTCTGACTGTAATCAGACTTTAAAACGTATAGTCCCTAAACCTAATTCCACTGGAGTGAATTCCATGACCTCACAAGGCCAGATCACATCCTTAATTACCAAATCAAGAGCAGAAGTGTGGGAGGGAAGGTCTCACTGCACTGCTATGTTCCTTTTTTGGTTCTAACTCGCAGCACTGGCTTATTCTATCTGTATTCTGCAATCCATACATAAAAAATTGGCACAGTAGCACAGGAGTATCACAAGACTTCATTAGGTGATGTTTTGTGCCTTGAAATCTGTAGATGAAAAAGGCTGCACAGAACCTCAATATTATTATTAAGAATAAAAAAGTAGTCCTATGACACAGGAATCTCACAGATAACAATTCAGAGCTTTTTATATGCAGTAATGAAAGCATAATTTGTGTGCATATTGAGGAATCAAAACTGAATATTTTGTTTCAGCTTGCTTTCACTGTGCTGGAAGTACAGCAATGATGCTTGACAAAACTCCACATTTAAAGAAGAAAACCTCATACATTGAGTCAAAAAGAGAGATGTAAAAAGATAGCAAAGGAATATCTATGTAATTACAGATTATTTCAAAATATGTTAAAACATTCATTATCTTTCCCCCCACAAATTCATTTGGAAGCTGAATGAAAACCAATTATATCAATAATACAGACCTACTGCAGTCGTAATTGGAATATTTTATACCTGTTGGCACCATGCAGATCTGGGTGATAGTAATGCTGTTCACTTTTTTATATATATGTATATATTTATATATATCTCAACAGCTGCCTACTTGTCCTTTTTTTAATATGGCCTTTTTATTCTGTACATCATTCTTCTTTTGTTTGAAAATCTCCTTCTTAGCAGTTCTGTCTAAGGGCTGTTTTATACCGTCCTCTGGTGAAAACGATATCTGCTAGATTGACGGGACAAACTGCAGTTTGGTTAGTCAGAAGTTTTTTCTTTGTGGTTATTGTTTCCTCTGTGACAGGTTCAAGAGTATCATATATATATGTCCTTATCCTAGTTTCTTAAAGATAGGGTTTTTTCTCTTAAGGAGTGGCCAATTCGCTTGCCAGCAGTATGCACCTTATAGCTTCGGTTGCTGAAAAGATTTCAAAGTTGTTTTGCTGAATTTTTGTTAGAGTTGTGTAATTTTTTTTAATTTTTTTTTTCCCAAAACCACTACTCAAAATAGGCTAAGTGGAATAATTAATCTTTTTCATGCACATAGACCCAAAAGTAAAGAGAACCTAGACAGGCTGAGAGTTAAAGACTTTGGAGATTTGTAGATTCTTCTAGGTTCAGTGCTAAAGGTAGAGAAACCTGCTGATGTTAGAGAGGTTTCTTGTGGATTTATTTAATCCAGAGCTCATGGAATACAAATCCAAGTGGATCAAACCAAAGAAAATGTTCTCATAAGCCCTTGAGAACTCTTTCTCCTTCAGAAATATTATGTAAAAAGCCATAACAGTTAATAAAATAATAAGAACTGGCATTTAATTCACTGGGGTATTTGCTTAGAGCAGATGCTTTGATTAACTCAATTTACAATCAATCATTAATTACCTTATGAAAATAAATTAATGATTTATATGTTCCGCAATGCACCTTTACCCTTGTTTTCTGGCATTTTGTGTAAGGTTTATATATTGTAAAATGGCAGTGATCTACAAAGTGATTTAGAAGACAAAAGGATAAATGTGGCATCTGACTGCAATATGAATAGCACTAAATGTTGCATTTTTGCCTCATTTCATTGCAATATGATTGCTACCACTCAATTAGTAGTAATTAGCACAATGAGTACATAGCCTATTGATACATAACCCAATGGGATGTTAAATGTAGTTACTAAAAAAGTCAGTGGTATTTTTAGATATGCTTTGGATGATAATCCCTCAGACCCAACAGTTAGGTTTGTGTCATCAAATTAGATATACACAGCAAAATACAGGAGGCACCAGCAATAGAAGGTTCTACATCAGTTCTTCTAGCAATAGTCTTCTTGGTAATGATTGTGTAAGAAACCTGGTGCCAAATGTAGCCATGGTCCTGTTGGAGGCAGATAGTGGAAGACATTGTTCATATAACAGTAATACATTTCTCTGTGTAAACTTTTCAAAAGCCCTTTTTTGACAAATATTTCAATTGTGGAAAGCACGTGCCAATTATTATTTCTACAATGACTTGGAAAAAAAATGTTTTCTGAAATCCAGTAAATCTACAGTGTTGCTGGGAAAGTAGTTTGTATTGCTTTATTTTTTCCTCATAGCTCAAAGTATTCATATTTGAATTAAATGTTGAATTTCCTTAATCATATCTAACATCACTGCTGCAAGTGTGTCCAAACATCCCTAAAGTAATTTAACTAGGCAACTGCATTCCAAATTGTTTATCTCTTGATAAGTATCAGGACAGCCTTCATTCAGTCAGCAGCATTGTGACTCACTGCCTGATATGTAATGTTCATTCAGCTGGTAATAGATGTTGCTGAATAAGGATGTTTTTAGAGAGAAAATCCACATTGCAGTATTCACTAATTAAATGCTTAAAAGGACACCCAGGTTTTCCCCACCTTCTCTTTTGTTAGCACATTGGCACGGAATGTGAATAGAAATGGTTAGAGATCAAGCATCAGTACTGCCTTCAGCAGCAGTGTGTGCGTGTGTTCTGTGGGGTAGAGTTTGGGTTGTTCCTTCAGGAACTTGTTGAAACTACAATAGAGGGGAGTTACATTTATTCCATAAAAATCACACATCTAAATAGAAGTCTTGCAAGGCTGGAGAAAGAGGCTAAAAAGGTTTTGTCCTGAAATTGTTTTGCTTAGCTCTTAAAATGAGGGTAAGTTTTCATTGTATGCAATTGTTAAAAGGAAGTCGAGTGTTCTTGTGCCATCCTGAGACCGTAATAGATATACATTTTCCAGTGTCTAATAAAAATGGCTGGTTTTTTACACTTTGGCTTAGCTAATTATTATACTGACCAAAGACAGTAGAAAGAAGTTGAAGACAAGGATGTCTCATCTCACGTTAGTCAAAACAGGTCATGTCTTCATTCTTTGCTTTTGATGAAGTGTGAATGCATTTGACTTTTGCAAACTCAAAAAGTTCCCAGACAAATGATAACCCCCCAGCCCTGAATTTAAAAAACCCGGACCCATCATTCTTATTTAAGCAGAAATACTGGGTTAGGTACATGTGTAAAAGTTTGCAAGTCTATTGTCGTGGTTTAGCCCCAGCTGGTAACTGAGCACCATGCAGCCGCTTGCTCACCCCTCTCCCACCAAGGGGATGGGGAGGAGAATGGAGAATGGAGAAAAAACTCATGGCTGAGATAAAGACAATTTGATAGGAAAAAAGATACGATGATAATAATATATTAAAAAAGGTGATACACAAATGCAATTGCTCACCACCCACAGAAACAAAAACTAATCTGATGGCCAGTCTGTTTCCGAGCAGCGATCCTACCTCCCAGCTCGCTTCCCCAGTTCTATCCTGAGCATGACGTTCTATGGCAGGGAATATCCCTCTGGCCAGTCTGGGTCAGCTGTCCTGGCTGTGCTCTCTCAGCTTCTTCTGCACCTGGTAGGGCCTGGGAAGCTGGAAAGTCCTTGGCTTCGTGTAGACACCAGAACTACCCAGCAACAACTAAAACCATTGGTGTGTGATCAACATGAGTCTCATACTAAACCCAAAACACAGCACTATACCAGCTGCTAGAAAGAAAATTAACTCTATCCCAACCAAAACCAGGACATCTGTATCAATGACAATTTGAAACTTGAGGCAATGACAGGAGATGGGAACAAGGAACTCTGCACTGAGTATCACTGATCTCCTAACATCTATTGAGATTTCTGAGAGATATTACTCCTGTAAAATGAATTCAACAGTAATCAGAGACAGGATACCAAATGTGCAGAGCTGATTGAAGTTCCTGTGTATTATCTTTAGTCCCAAGGGTGCTAAAATTACCTGGAAGACTACAGTTGCCAGGAATTCAAAAGAAGAGCAATTTTAGGAAGGTGATAATATCCTACCTATAAAACTACCTTGAGACTGATTGGGGAAAAAAAAAAATACTTTGTTGCCTTGGTGATTCAGCATAACACACACAGATTATTGTAGCAAAGCTTTTCCCACCCACCCTTTTGTAGAATGCTGATGATAGAGTTTTGATACTGGAGGTTTTGCTGTGGCACTTTGGCCTTAACATGTTTTCCTATTTCAGACAATTTCCTTTCTTTTAGAGGCCACCTTAGAAGGAACACCTTGTTCTGAGCTGTCAAAAGATTTAAATTTCCTTATTTGCTGTTGCTTGATGTAGTCCCAGACTTCTGCATAGATACAGTGTAACGCAGCAGAAGAAAAAGAAAATAATCGAAAATTAACTTCTACAAAACAAATGGGAGAATATGCTTTTCCCCATCAAGCAAAGCAGATCTTTTCAATATTAGAAGGAAATATACTTTCACTTGGGTCTAACGCTTCATCTTTCTCAATAAATGACATATTTAACCTTTTAGAATTAATGTCCTAAAATTGCTTTGAATTGCCTGCCACAGAGTTTCTATAGCCTGTCTGGTTTTTTCTATGTATAGAAGACACAGGAGCTTTCAAAATACAGCTTGTAGCTTTACAGGCATTTTTCATTTTATTTATCATTAGTGCCTCAGAAACTTAAAGCAAATGGATTAAATGTGAAGTTTAATGATGAAGAAGAGGACCTAGCTGACATTCATTTTAGACTTCACCCTAGTGACTGTGTTTGGGCTGAATTCAGGGACAATCTTGTCTGACCAAGGCTTGTGTTATGGGGCTTCCTGTGCCAGGTATTAAGAGTTTATGCCTGCTCTGCAGGCTGTATTTTGATGCTGAATTTGGGAGGTAGCTTTAAATTAGCTGGCTTGGGGCCCCAGAGGGCTCAAGCTGCAGCAGCACACGGCTCCATGTGGGTTGATTTACCCCATTTGAATGTGATGCTGTATTGCTCTAGGACTACAGAGACACGGATGACACCAGTGCCATAGATCAGCTGCCAGGAAGGTGTGCAAGAATATTTTCATCTGATACTGTGCTCTGGAAAGCACGGTCTATTGCATCGTAAATTTGGCGATTGGGAGTAGGGTTGGTGAGCATATTTGTAGCATCTACTAACTGAGAAAACATTCAGATACAGCAAAAAACCATATCCATAATTCTTTCATGGATGAAAACCAGTGCCAGCACAATATTAACATTACCTATTATGGGTGTAGACTAAACTTCACAGCTCTTATGTAATTATTACTGACAAAAGATTAAGCAAACGTACTTACTTTTGTGTATAATAAATAATCCATATGAATTCTTTAGTCCAGATCAAATCTTATGATCCCCCTTAGGCTAAATATATTTTTTCAACCTTTATGGAATTTATTGAATGGTTGTTTCTTAAAGAAAAAATACTCCAATTTCACTCTAACAAAACCTTGATTCTGCCTCCATTGCTGTTATCCATTTAATACCTTGTTAATGCAAAGAAAAGGCAAACACTGCACTATAGGCTGTAGACCATTTTATTCTCACTGACTTAACAGCTCTTTTTATGCAGATGACTGCTCTATGTTTCATCTGCGTAAGTTTTATTATCTTCCAAAGGAACTCTGTATTTAATTTTCTTCTTCACTGCCGTTTAAAATTGATAAAGCATCATGCTAAATCCTTTGAATATCCAGCATTTGACTTGGAAAAATAAAGGCAGACTAGAAGTACAAGGGAGACTTGGGTAAGCACAGGTATTTTTGCTTCTGTGACAAAGCTCCTGCCATGGGAAGACAACTTGCATCAGAAGACAAACAGTGCCAATCAGCAGTGTCTACTCAGCAACCAGAGATGTAATTGGTAATGTGTAGACGTACCTGTGGGACTTTTAGGTACCCCAGGTAGCTCACATACCCATGGTAGACTGTTTCAGCAGATAGGCTTCTGTCTGTACTTAATTGCTCTGTTGAATATAATTATTCTTGATTTTATTCAACTGTGTGTAGGAATTCCCTTTCTTAAATAGGCAAATGTGACAGTAAGCTAAAATCTTGCCTTCGTTTAGGTCTTACACAAATATTACTTCTAAGGAGCTATTCCTGATTTGGACAAGCATGGGAGAGCAGAGTCAAGTTTATGGGATATTAAACCCCATCCTGCAGATTGGATTTCAAAGTTGAAGACATAAACAATGCCTGTAGATGCTGCTTTTTAACTACTGTCTGTCTTATTTATAAATACAAGGTGCTTCTAGCCACAATCATTACAGAATGAAAATACTTTTTTCCAAAAATTACAGTTCTGTCATTACAGGAAAATTTCACAGAATTTTACGGGGCTGACATTGGTAAGATTAAGCAGAAATTGCTTGTCAGGGAATTTTGTAAAGCCTCATGCAGAAAACCTGAAGAATTTAAAAGAAAATTGAAACTCTAAGCTATCATGTATAATACTCTGTCTGGGACCTGGTTATTAAATTCCATAAGATGATAAAACCCCAAACCTTCACATTTTATTAAATCACACAGGAATTAACAGACAATCATTTAATATTTAAAGGGATGAGGTTTTACTATATTCAGAACTGTTGGCAAGAAAAACCTCGGTTCCTCTCCAGCTCCTGGCCTGGAAAGCTGTGCTAAAGCTGCACAAAGGATATCGCAGTGCTGGGGGGCCGCAGACACGCAGCTCCCCCCGAGAGCAGGACCGTAACTGGCCGCCTTTGTCTAATTCCTGTGTAATCCCGTAAAGCACTCCTCTACCTCCCAGGATGCAGCACACTGGAACTGTCAAAACCCGTCTGGAAACTTCTCCTTTAAACACAGAAATCTTGTAGAGCTATTACATATTTATGTTAAAATAAGTCTTGGTTGGGCATCTGAGTGGGATCTGTGTTTGCTTCTGTCTCTTCATAACCATCTCTTGCTGCTGTGTGATGCTCTAGATAATTAAATGTCGCCATATCCGTCCTCTTGCCTGCTAGTCATGCACCCCTGTGAGAAACTCAACTTTGTTTTCTAGATTGTTTTGAATTCTTGAACAAGTTGCCCTTACTTGGGGGAACGTGGTTAAAATAAGCTTGATATTGCTGCACAGGATATCACTGCTTGAACAGCAAGAGAGAAATTGCGTAAACAAAAATCAGGCTGAAAAAGGACTATGATTCTCAATGAAATTAGCACTAATTCAGTTTAACTGTTTAGTACTTTATTGAAAAGTCATTTTGTTTGTCTGACATTAATTGATTAAAACATGTTGTATTACATAGCTGCAGGAGGATGTCGAGTTAGACTTCATTGTAAAATTACTCTGAGCTGTTCTGTTCAAATGAAATTTAGCTGAACTTGCGGGGTTTACTGGAAGATGTGTTTTTGTTACTGATATTGCCACTGACTTTGCCTTTTTGCAGGCTGCCCGCTGGTGATTTGTGTAATTTCTACAACATCATCCCTAGACAGCTATGGAGAAAGTGGCAAGTGAGTATGAAAATGTCTTCACTCCAAGTGCAATAAGGATGAGAAGTCTGATGGGGAGAAAACCGTGTAGATCTGTTAACAGGGACATGGTTCTGCAAGATCCTGCCGAGGAGCAGGGGAGATAGCCTGCAAAAGCACGACTGTTATATAGGCATATTCTTAGACCTAGAACCCTCAGGTTGGCTTTTCACTGCTGAGATGATGCACAAAAAGCTCCTGAGATGTTTTGCCAATTTTTCCCTTTTGCTGCAGAGCCATAAGGTCTCCTACGGTGAGCTCCCTGCTTACCCCATGCGCAGAGTAAAGCACAGGATGAAAAGTTTCTAACAAGATGAGAATAACCTTTGATTAAAGATATTTAATCTTTTGAAGAAATCTGCAGTTAAACATCTGAAGATCAGGAGTGGATATTGTTAAAAATTTTGAAAATTAAGTTCCTTTCTCATCTGGAAAAAGAAAAGCAAGTTTATCTGGAAAAACCCCCATAGGATTCAATCCTACCATAACGTAAGCAAAAGATTTGGAGCAGGGGTTATTTTTTATGTATGGTAAACTAGCTTATATCGTCAGTGCTGCAAAACAGACGTGTGAAGCTGACAGCATGTTTCCCAGCCTCTTCCTCACCCCCAGCCAGGCAAGGCAGGGAGGGCTTCAGTTTCTCTCTTGCTACAATGACAGTGCTCACAGCACTGAAATGAGTGCCTGTGATACAGGACACAAGAACAACTAATAGCAAATAAAACCTTTCCTTTCTTCCCATCTTTCCGCCCCAATGCTGTTTGAAGGCGTGCTAGGGCAGATAGCTGTCACTGACTCTCTGCAAGATACAAATCAAAATGAGATCTTGCCTCAGATTCCCCAAGTGCGAGGGGAAAAGCAGCTTCTTATTGATGCTTTATCATGTCTCTTGCCTTTAAAATTGATCAGTCTTTTGCACTCTCTTTTAGTCTCTTTTTAAATTAAGAACATTACTAATTAAATGACCGTGTGTTTCATCTATAATCATTCTGATTTTTCTCTGCAGCTGCTGGCTTTCACTAGAGAATGGAGCAATCTGGGCTTTTGTGGCACCGGCGTTGTTTGTAATTCTGGTAGGTAAACCCACGGCTGCTGCTGCTTTCTTGTCACACGTCTGTGTCAGCCACAGAGCAGAACTCGCTGAAGGTCTGATGTCACTCCTTGTGCCAGGCCAGTGAAACTGATTGAATGACAGAGATGAATGATCTAGAATTATATTTTCCTTCCTCCTAATTTTGTGCATATTAATTCTCACACTATTAATTTCGCTCTTCCAAGACAAAAATACAACCTAAAATACTGGGACAGCCCTCTTCTGAAACAGCCCTGTTGGGGCCATTAATAACTGTGTAGAACCAAGTAATCTTGGGAGTTTTAATAATTCTCAGAAAGATCCCCCAGAAGAACAAACTCTGTGGTTTGTGTTTTATATCTACAAGTAAAAGCTGAAAGGCTGATTCCACCCCACTGGTATTTGAAGCTTTTGCTTGTAGAGAGCTCACTTTTCCCAGTAAAGCTGAGTGCCCTCAGTGAAGATGATCATCGGCAGAGTTTGCAGGCAGTCAGCAGCCTGCAGGAACAGGTTAAAACAACAGGACGAGCTGTCACCCTTTGGGTGAGTTCTGGAGAAGGTAGCAAGCTGCACCCACCTTCTTACAGTGAGAAGGAATTTGTGCTATTCCTCTGGTTTTGGAATTCGATGTCAGGTGCGGCACTTTGTCAGGCTGATCAAGGCAGGGCTGTTAAGGCGAGTTTGCCAGGGTTCAGGTGGCTGCTGCAGACACCTCTGCCAGCTATAATGAACATCATCTTTCCGGGGAGAGTGCAGGTTCATGGCTCTGATGCTGATACATGAATGCTCTGCAGCAGTTTAATTATGCCCACACATTAAATTACAGTGAGTTGTAGCTTAATCACTGTGATTGCTTAAGGAGTCAGGGGTGTTTGCAGGGATGAAGTGGGAGATTATTCCTCTTCAGCACTGTTTCCAATACTTTAATTGATCAGGTTATCTATGATTTTTGCTGCAGGTTATAATGTCAGAGTGACAGTATGAACATGGAATAGACTCACTGATTAGTGAAATCAGATTGTCTTTAAAGCTTAGATTTTAAAGGCATGAGCCCAAATTGAGACCGGAGTCTGCCTGCTGTGGTGTTTAAGGAGGGTCAGGTGAAATAAGATCCTGACTGCTTGCTTGGAGGAAGAATCAAAAGAAGGTACTGACTATACTTTGTACTTCCCTACAGAAGCTAGGATTTCCATGGAAAGCAGAAAGAAACTTCCCCAAATCTCGTCATGCAGAAAAAACCCCACAAATCCTGCTCACAAGCCAAAGGAAGGAAGGAGAGCTATGCATATAGAACTAATGTTTACCATTGCATATCTCTATAACTATTTGGCAAGCAGAAGGTGGCTCCTTGGCTGACCTTTTCCATCTCAGGCAATTTTACACTGCAGCTGAGTGGACATCCTAACATTTGCCTGGGAGACAGCAAAATCAGCATCTCTTATAAGGAGCCCAGCCCAGCCTAATCCAGCATCTTCCACCCAAGAAAAACTATGCTATATAAACATATATTAAGAAAACAATGAAAATAGTTGCTATATTGATGTGGCAGAAATTGCCTCATGTTAGCATTTTAATCAAACTATTAATGACAACACTGGAAAATCCCTGTGCAGGAAGGGCAGAATGTCTTTTACCTAAGTGAAAGCATATACATGTAAATAAGAAATGTTGATCACTGGATTAGAGCTGGCTAAAGAGCTCTGGACTTTGTTCCAACAAACTTAATTTCTTGTTGGACTGTACCTTAGACCTTCTGCATGTGAGTTCATATTCAAAGATATGTAGATATTGATGATTGGAGAGCAATTAAAATAATCTAATATTGAAATGTCTCCTTCTCACATTAGCACTTGCTTTCTGGCCATTGTTCAGCAGCAAAGGAGGAAATGAGATGCTACCAGTGAAATCAAATCTTTCCCAGCTGCTGTCCAAAGATGATATCAATCAAAACATGCCAGATAGTGAAGTGCTTACTCACCTGAGTGAGCACAGCCTTCAACAATTTGCATGCGTAGCTGCTTGCCAGTGAAAGTAAGGGTTTAACTGTCTGGCTCTCGCTTATGATATATAACATTTGTGCAGCTCAAGTTATATTCTTATAGGGATACAAATATTTTGAGAAAGAGAAAAAAATGAGCTCACAAGGTTGATCCACGTAGAGCAATTTGTTAAATAGTCTAAACCCAGCTCTGCCCAAAATAGCAGCAAGCCAGCTGACAAATTATTCTCTCTGGGCATTGAATATGCTAGCTGAAAAATGTGTTAGTGCCTATAGGGAAATAACAAGGCTAAACACTATTTTGTGCGTGCATGTATGCCTGTGCTCTTAAAATAACAAATTAGCCACTAGTTGCATGAACTAGTGCTTAGCTCTGAAAATACGTTTCGAAAGGCAGTTTTTGACTACTTCCATCCACAGTTTCTCTCTGCCAAGAAAAAGGGATTATGCTGTGAAGAAAACAGGGAGACTGCTCCTTTCAACTCCCACACCCTGGAGACTAGGCAGACACAGTCTGATTTTGTCCTGCCACAGCCTCACAGGCAATATAGACATCACGGAGCCTTAAAACAGAATGATGTGGTGGGAGTGTGACTGGGAAAAAATACTCACACATACTTTTCTAGGGAGTAATTCACAGAACCTCCCAGCCCTATATGGATTCCCGTATGTAAAGTGCTCTTTCCTTGGGGTCTGAGTCAAGGGATGTGATGAAATAGTTCCTTCTATGTGTAGGTCTTTTGGCTTCTACCTGCGTCTTAAGGTTTAAAGATTACTCTCCCCCACCTCCCAACCACAACACTCAAGCCTCTATAGCATCCTCTTAAGGCAGCTTCACAAAAAAATTGTTGCAATTAATTTGAAACCCAAACCAATCTCGGCCAAAGTGAGCCTGGGACTTGTTTTCAAAGGAAAAAAAACCCAAAAACCAAACTTGACAAAGCACCTGAATTTTTGGAACAAGACATTAAAACTTCTGGCAGAAGGCTTTGTTTGTTATCAGCCATCTGCTGCCTTGGTGTGTTTCCATAGATATGGCAGAATTAAGGAAATTCTGTGGAAAGCATCTGTGTGTGCGGAGCAGTGGGTGTGCTGCAGACTGTGAACAATCCATTGGGGGCGAGATATTGGGATGTAGTGGCAAGCCCTTTCTATTGTTTTCCCTTTAAGTAGTTACTTTCCTGGTGTTTTTTTACAAGTCTTTCTGATAAACAGCATTTTTATGGATGCTAAATGATTTTCATTAGCATTTTGCTAACAGTTCTGTGCTGTGGGGACATCAGCTTTGTACCCACTGTCTTCAGATGGGACTCCGTGGAACTCGGGTCCCAGGCTGAGATTGCCATCACTGTCTTTGGTTGGTACTTGCTTACAAATGTTCGCTCTATAAAAAAAATATTCTCTCCCTTATACCTGCTGATCATGCATGATTTATTTCTGTTGCCTCATGGTATTTATTCATAACTTTACGTACCAGTGTGGAATTGGGATCATTTTTGTAGGCTGAATAATATCTTACTCTGCAGGTAGGCCCACTGATTGAAAAGTGACAATTTGTGTTCCTTATTAGACATTGTTCATCATGGGAAAAGGTGACAGAATTGGACCCATAGTGTTTAAAGGCCTTGAAACAGTAGGATTCCTCAGAGTCATTGAAATCAAGTACATACTTAAGTGCTGTGGAGGATTAGAGCACAAATGAACAGACCACAGCTGCTAAGCTTCTCATTTTCTCATTTTTTCTTATTAGCACTCAGTTATGAGCACTTTTACTATTTTAAAATCAAATTCCTTCATTATTTTTAAATTAAATTTCTTCTTACTTAACCAACAGGAAAGCATGCAACATTTTTTTCAAAGGGGACAGATTGTAAGAAATTAAAAATTAAGGGTTAATATTAGGAAAGAGTAGAAGTCAGGGATCTGTAACGCCTTTTATATATTATTTATTTTCTTGTGTATTTCCTTTCCAACCTCAAAGTTTTGCTCTGATATTCAGCTCTGACTAGTGTCATACTACGTGCATGAATATGAAGTAATGTACACAGAAGTCTAAAATAAATCAATTTAGCCTATTCCATACGTAGTTGCTCTGGGATAGGTAAGAGTGGAAGCAGGCTTTCCAAAATCATTCTCCCATATTTCAACATCGATCTAATTTAATCGACTAGCTGTATATGGAATATCCAGTAATGACTTCCGATGTGACCTAGCAATGGGCTGCAACTGCAACAACTTGCAACACTGCTGTGCTACTAATGATGTCATGATAAGGATCAAATTAACTTGCACCATGTTAAACCTCAGATTGGAGGAGTCAGTTATAACTCCCTGCACTGTTGCCCGAAAGTGAAGTGGAGCGTAAAATAGTTTGTGGTTTTAGAGGAAAGCAGGTCAATGGATTTAATTAAGGCAATATGTTTTAAACATTTTTTTTTTAGTTCCACTGTGCTGCCAAGCCTTTTCTTGGCTAGGATGCAACACACCACATCAGAGGGTTTTACACATGGGATTTCTGCGCTGCACTAAAGAAGAAACAATAATCTCATGAGACTTGGAGGAAATCTAGGTGAAACCCCTGCAAAAAAACCCTAAGCAATGGAAAGAATTTGTCTCACTGTATCTGGTCTGACAAATTTTTGATGAGAAAAGATATTGAAAGTGGTCCTTTTTACTCATTTAACTCTCTTCCTGATCTGACATCTTTTAGTCAGATAAAGTCACTGGAGTGAGCCAGAGCTCTCTGATGTCATAGGGATCTTTGCATGGGCTCTGGTGGGCTTTGGATCAAGCCAACATTAACGGGAGCTGGCATCTCCTGCTGATTTCACAGAGACCTGTGAGTGCCTGGGGTTGGACAAGCTGCCTTGAAGGGAGTCCTGTGAGTTAGAAAACAAGTGCTAATGTTATTAGTTATAGTTTTTTTTAAAGTAGACTGTGGCCAGTACCTGCAAGTAAAAATATTCTAAGTTCCTGCGTAATTTTAAGGCAAAACAACTCCAACTGTCAGGTAAGCTGGCCTTTCAGAAAAGTAAAAAAATAGGAAGTCTATACGGTTCCCTTATCTAAATGTTTATTCTCCTAGTCTGAACATTCTGATATAAGTTAAAGCATAATGAGTGTTTCACCAACTAAGCAATCTCCTGTTCAAATAATTGGTGAAGTATTTACATCAGATGCCAAAAAAAATCACTGGAGGAACAATTCAGTGGCTGTATTTTGGTTTCCCATTATAAGGGCAGTGGAAATACCTCCGTGCTTTACTTACTGAAACATTAGCAAAGGAAGACATTTATAGCTAATCTGTTTGTTTAGGCTGGATGAGATTACTCTAATTTCTCAAAATACCTAAACAAAAATTTCCAAGTGGTTCAGAAAATTTAAATATAGAACTTTGGGACTTGGGTGTAATGGTCTATTGCTCATTTTACTAGTGCCTTGGTTTTTTATCAGCAGTGAGATCACAGTGTTTTCTTCTCATCTTTTAAACATATTACTAATGCACCCTGGAAAGGATATAGTCACACTGACTGCACAAGAGGAGAAGCTCAAGGCCTTTTTAAATTTCTGCTTTAGACCATCCAAAATACCTAGGAAATTAATTTCCAACTTTAGGTAAAGAAATGAAAATTCAGCTAGAAATGCCAAACAGTTTGTGCTTTAGAAAACCATCTAATTTTTCTCCTCTGAGATTATCTTACTTGTGCCATTTTCATGACCAGATCTTAGGGTTCGTGTCCCATTTGAGTGAGAGTTTGCAAGATTCTGAATATCCATTTCTTGGTGCTTCTCATTCATAACTTGCACTGACTTTTGTAAGATGGAGGAAAATCAGAAGAATGAGGTTTCATTTTTTATTTTTTTTACTTAACTGGATTTTTTTGGAGGGAGTATTTGAATATACGTTATTTAGGCATAATCTTCATATTTTTAAAAATGCTATGCAGAAAGCAAAATGTAGGATTGTCTAAAAAGAATTAGAAATGGAAAAAAGCATTAGGGTTAAGTGCTTGTGAGGCTGGCAGGAGTGTACTGTTGCCTGCAGTCACCAGAAAAAGAGATCATGGAAAACTGCCAGGATGAACTGTCAGTGAGACATCACAAGGAAATGTCAAAAGGTGAGATTGATATTTTAGATAAAAGACTAAAAACGGCTGCTGAAAGATCATGTGTCAGGAAAGAAGTCAGGGGTACAGAGAGGCATTTCCTGTGCAGTTCCCATGAAAAGCAGGAGTAATGATGATGATCATTTGGTGGACATGCAGCAGAAAATTGGAGAGTTTGGAGGAGACAGGGAAGAGAGAAAGAAGAGAAAGTGTAATTTGTTCATGCTCATCGTTTGCAGCTTCACTCAACATGCATATTTAACATATAAGTGGGTATCTCAAAAATGCTTATTACCATCTCAAAGAATTTATAAAAGATATTTACAAAATATGATTTCATGGGAATAGGGAAAATGATCCCAAGACCATTGAATTTCACTTCTTATTCATCTCTGTAAATCTGATTGAACAACAAGTATGCTTGTAATTGAAAAGCTGTCAGGTTCCACAGGGTATTCTTAGGATGGGCTAAAAAGCTGTGGCAGGAATAAACTATCACAATTATGGTCCTACTTTACACCAGGTAATGATCTGTCCTTAGAAATCTAAAATGGAAATAGTAGTCAGAAGATTTGAAAAATATCAAGGAAATCATTATCATCAAACTTAAACATTTTTTAATTCACCCTCATCCTCAGAATTAGAATATTGATGTCAAAATAGAGAATGATTATTGAGTTTTAACTGAGCAACAGCACTATATTGAAGTCTTCTCTGTAGTTCAGGGTAGTTTTGTTTTACTCTTGTGCTTAACTTGATGCTAAATATCAGCTTTGTAGCTGATGTGTAACTTTGGACAGGAAAAGGGAAATACGTCTTTCACCTTCACATTCTCTCCTCTTTCTTTTTGTTTTCTCTCTTTAAACCCAAGGTCTTTGTGCAGCAACGCGATGTTTGCCACATTTCCTTTAAGTGATCAAGATTTCCTTCTTTCTTCACCTGTAGCTCCAGAGCAAACTCTCGTTTGTTACACATTGGCAGTGTTAGTCTTTTCAAGATTTCCTACTTTTCTGGTGGGAGTTCTTTTCATTTTCTTGATGCTTCTGCTGGGCCTGACATCAAAAAGAGCAGGGCTTTTGAAGAGCAGAGTTCAGGCTTAACATATTTTCCTCATTGCTGTTTTAAAATAATCTTGTGCTTAAATTGCAAGTAGACTTTGGTGAGAAACAGGAACTGTACACTGTGAAGTCTAGCAAGAAAGGTGCTCTCTGAAGTCTGTGCACATGCAAGCACAAAACCAAAAAGAATGCAGACACATGCCCCCGTTCACTGAAGTTTCTGTTTAATTTGTCAGCTGGTAGTAGATTACTAGGGTATTTATTTGTACAGTAGGAATCCTGAGCACTTCTTTATCTGTGAAGCAATGTATCAGTCCAGCCTTATCCTAAACAGACAAGGACTGTTCCTGAAGGACAGAAAGTACAAGCAAAAACTACCCACTGTGGGGAGAGGGAAATCCATTGACAAGGGTCAAACTATACCAGCCCCAAACTGGAAACCTCTTTTGCCAAATAAATACAACACACAGAGTTCCTATTTTCTGTTGTATTTATACAATAGACTCCTAGGGCAGTTTGCACTTCTGACACAGTCAGTACGTACCTTCCTGACCGACTCTCGTTCCTTCTTCTTCTTCAGGTCAATATTGGTATTCTCATTGCTGTCACAAGGGTTATCTCAAGAATCAGTGCAGACAACTATAAGGTCCATGGAGATGCCAATGCCTTCAAGTAAGTTTTTCTCATTCAAATTATATTATAACAAGTTAATAATCTCACACAATGTTGTATCATGAAGACGTGTATCGTGGACTTCCCCCAGAACACTGATATGATTTGTCTTTAGTAAAAAGCAAATAATGTTAAAGGTAGCATATCATTCTCTTGAATGCAGCCAGTTAACCTATATTTTATGAAAGCCAAATACTGCACAGGATGAGACCTGTGGTTCAGCATGAGCTAAAGTGTTTTCCTGCTTATTACAGTCTCCAGCATTTGCTGATTCATGATTTTCCCTTTTATTAATGGAGACTTTCCTCTTCCTGCTATATTCAAAGATAAATCTCACAGAGCATCGTTAATCTGTACTGGGGTATTGCAACTATTCTGCTCCTTCAGATAAACCTTGTTTCTAGCTCCAATTCAGCGTAATATTTAGGCATATGCTTATCTGTAAGCCTCTCTTGATACTGCAAAGCACGCAGACTTATGCTGGATTTAAATTCAAGCGGGTCTTATATTAAGGTGTCTTGAGCCCCTTGGGATGGTGGCCTCTCTGAGAGTGTATCATCTTTAAAATACTGCACTAGCAAGGCTAGAGGGGAAATGTAAGGTAGATACATCCCTACATCTGAATACACTAGGACAAATTCTGATTTCTAAAATCTATAGGATTACATATGGGTAGCTAAGAAGATAATTTAATATGAGTTTAAAGTCAGATGCTGAATGTTTCATTTTGTATTTTGTATCTCATAAAGATGCTTTAGTCCAAATATAAAAAGGACGCTTTATGCAACTCAAGGAATATGTAACAGATAGAAGAAAAATGTGATGATGGTTTGTGTTTAATGTTTCTGAGTCACAGGCTATTGTATGATAAGGATTTGGTGCCACTGCTCTGAAATGGTATCATAAAGAATAATTTTTATGCTTGGATTACTTATGTAATTTTTAAAATGCCATTAAGTTTTAAATATTGGTGACAGTTACCTAATTGAAGTTAGTTTAATTATTGTATACTTATCCAACAGGAAAAGAAAAACAGTAAATAAGTCTACACAAAAATCTATAAGATAATTACATTGCAGTGAAATGAAAAGACTGGGAATTAAAATAACTGTTTCAGGTTTGACTGAGTCCCTGTGACCTTCAGAAATACCAAGGAAATATAGAACCTTAGGAAGCAAATAACTATATTGTCAATGCCAATTTCTATACACTATTAGAATTACGAAGACAAAGGAACAACCTCCGTAAGTAGAAGACGCACAGATTCCTCTATGTACTTAGATATTTCTTTACTTGTATTACAAATGATTGATTCAATTCATACTGTATCCTGCACACTAATATTTATTATTTTTTTAAAATAAAACTATATGTGTGTACATAGGTAAACCAATTTATGAATGGTTGGTCTAGGAACAACATGAAATCCGTTTAATCAGGAGTATATGTCCTTAGTTCCAGTATTATCAGCTGTAGATTTGGAATGGTGGAGCTCTGTACTGAAAAGGGGACTCCTCCAGACACCCTGGCTAAAAGATGTTTCTTGTGCCAAGTGATTTTTAAAATACAGTTTTTGGATTTGACCTAACAAAAGTGATGGTGATGGGGAAAAATGGTAATCAATGGGAAGATATATCTGGAAGCATTCAATCAATAAATTATTGGTTAAGCAGAAATATGCTTTGATAGAACAGGTTTCCTCATAGAACTAAATTAATTCAATGAAATATAATCGAAGGTAAACAGAACATACAGAATAGTTCTTTTTCTGTAGATATCATTACAGAAATGGGTCCTCAGAAGAAATTTGAAATGAGAAAGGCATAAATAGCTTTCCAAATCAGATCTTGGAGGGTATTTATACCCTGATTCAACATAGCAGTGAGGCATGATGAATTAGTTTCATGTACAGAGGATGTCACGGAGAAAGTAACTGGCCTGTTGGAAAAAAGAGAAATATAAGGCCTTCGTAACACTGGATTTCATTTTCTTGTCATCAGTATTCCTTATACAGGTGAGAAGTTTATATGCCTAGTGTGAAATCATTCTGTCCATGGTTCTGTTTTCCAAAAAAAGAAGAGAACAAAACAAAAGAGGGTTCTGTTCTGACAGCTGCATGGGGAATGTTTTTCCTAGTGGAAAAAACCCATGCCTCCAACCACTGAAGGATCCTGGATGTTGATTAGAGGTTGTTAACATGTGAGAGTGGATAAGCACAGCAAAACGAATCCGTGACAGAGAGCACAGAGAAATCAGAAGAACGCAGTAAGCTCTGTAGTTTCTGTCGAGTTGCTGTCAGCAAGGACTACAAGGTAGTTTCTGAATCAACAAGTTCAATTGGTTTAGGGAGGAATCACTGAAGACTGCAAAACACTTTGTGTAATATGAGCCTCAGATAAAGGGCCTGTCAGGCACCCATCTGAATAGTGCAGTTCAGTTGATATTAGCTAGGGAGGAAACTGCAGCATGTTAGAAAGAATTTATCAAGCACTTCTTAGAAACAGCTGAATTAAAATGGCACAACGTGATTTTGGTGAGAGAAGGAGGCACTTTGTCATCATGTTGCAGTTGTTTGCTGCAGTGAAGTGGTACATGAGGCAGAAGTGGGGTTTTTAGGGTTGCGTTCATGGTTTCCGAAAGCCAAAGACAGAAGATAAGAACTGCAATGCAAGGAGCTGTGGTGGGGAAGCCTGCTCAACCCAGTAAACTTGAGAGGGGAAAAAAGGAGGGATTTCTGCGTGTCTTTTCAAGCTGGAATGAAATGTAAGTGAATGAAACAGTAAGTTGTTGTCTGCAACAATTTGGATGATAGCACTTAAACAGCAGGGTTTCGAAGTTTACAAGTGATAATGAACTGAAAGGCATAGGCAAAGCTGGCTGGAGAACGGCAGCAGCGCCTGTGGCAGGAGGGTGAGGGAGGTGCCAGCGCCAGCTTGCCTGTCCTTGGTAGCTCAGGCCAATATTTGTACCTGACTAAGAGCCTCACGCTCCCAGCTCCTGCTGACTTCAAATATGAACAGCCATTGCAGTCCGAAAATCCCAGCCTTCAGGTTTTACCAAACAGGCTCGTCATCAGGCTCGCCTCTTGCCAGGGTTTGCTGCCAAAGGAAAAGTTTAATCATGCTGACGAGGCCTGGCTTCCATTTCTGCTGCAGCCCGGATGGGACAGCACCTGACCTGGATTCGTCTCCCTTAACTTTAGAGCTCAGTAAAGCTGCCACCTGCACCTGGACTCCTGATCAGTGGAGAAATGGGTGCTTCTGCTATGTAGCTCAACTCGTCTGTTATGTGTTCATCTCACCTGCCTTAAAAATTCTGATTTTTCCCCAGAGACTGAAGGAAGCCTAGGCTGCCCAGCGTGTACTCAGATACCATCTCTGGGCATGTCTCAAGCCAGGTGTGATAACTCACACCTCTGAGGCCATCAGCCCATAGCTGAACAGAGATTACCGTAGGAAATTGTCACAACAAAGATGCAGTTTTGAGCCATGATGCTATCACTTAGAAAGGATATTTGTTAGAGAAGTGCTAGTACTGGAGCATATTTAGTTTCCCTAAAGATTAAGTTACTTGGCAACACGAGTGGATATTACCAACAAGGCTTGTTTCTCTTGGCAACAGACAGCAATAAACTGATGCAATTATTTAGAGTAATTGTTCCTGATTTTCCATATGGCAACAGGTCCTCTCAAATGCTGACTCAAAAGTGACTACGGAATATGCATCGGGGTGAGCCAGTGCTCCGCTCTGAAGGCAGCGTCCGTCAAAATTCATGTTTAAAAGCCAAAATCGAAAAGGAGGTTGTGCACAAAATTCCTTTTTTATCATAAAATTAATTTTACTCAACTTCCCCATTCACATTTCACCCAGAATAAAGTGCAAAACATTATGGGCTGTTGGACTTCTTCAGGCTCAGAGGTTGCTCGTCACAGGGTGATGTCAGACAGCATCTTGCAGAACACTAGTTTCAGAGATACTGGTGTGGACACGTCTGTTTGTTTGTTTACTTAAAGTAAATAATAATAGCACCCCCAAAATAAAATATAGGACAAACTGAAGAAGCAGCATAAAAAGTAAGTTTATATGACACTTAAACTGCAAAATGACCAATAATTTAAGGCAAAATGAATGTAATTAATTAATCAGTATATGATCATAGATGCTAATTAATGCAAATGAGACTCCTGCAACAGTCTGAACAGTAAGTATTTGATTGTAGGAATTTTTGTGTGTCCGGGAAAACAGTCACTTTTTTAGCATCTGAAACTTTAATTCAGCAAGAGCAGTTTGCTGGTAAGAGCTGAGCAACGAATTGTTATCGGCTCCTATTTATTACTTGAATTTACTTAAGAAGATGCTTTTTGTATTGTTTTCTGAAGCATATTGAACACATGTATAGAATATGCGTTGTTTCACTTAATGGTGATTGATTATATTTGAACCTTGTATTCAATGATTAGCTATTGACTCTCAGCAAAATAATTTTATGTAATAATTCAGATCCTGCTTTCTGAGAATGTTTTGCACCCAGGGAACAGATTTTTCAACAAAAAAGATAATCTGAATGTTTTAGTTTATAGAATGCTGAATCAAATACCTTGAAACATTTAAATGTACACACACAGCATTTGTTTGCATTATACATTCTTCTTGACTGGGCCCTCTTTTAGGGAAATAATTAATCATATGTTTGAGTTTAAGCATATGAGTAGTCTCTCTGAGCTTAATGCAATTAAAGGAGATTAATTTAATGGAATTGCTCACGTGCTTGAAAAGGCACATGATTACATTTCTGAGTTATGGACCATTTGAACTCTTTTTCTTACTTATTTCTGCTGCATGTAAAGTCTTAATTCCAGTCAATGCATTCATTAAGTCTTATTAGGACCTAAATAGCTTCTTTTCTTGCTGTTGTGCCCCTTCAAAGACTCATTGCTGTGTTTACTTGGGAAGTTACTTCCCTGTTACAGTGAGAATTTATATTTAATGTGAGAGTGTTT